CCGGGCGGGCAGGCTGGAGAGCTCCATGCGGGCCGAGGTCTGCGGGCGGTGGGGCGGCACAGGCCGCTCCCTGCCTTATGAGCCCTCCGCCCCGGCCCTCGGCGACCCCCACCCGCCCGGCCCGGCCCCGCCAATGGGCCGGGGCCGCCGGGCCTCCGAGGGTGACTCAGAGCTGTCTCCCACACCTCCATTGTCATCCCATCACCAAAATACACACAATGAGGGCTCGCCCCAGCGAAGGAGCCAAAGCGTCTCCCAGCGAAGCCCCCGCTGCCGCCACAAACCCATCCGCCTTTCTTTAATTCAAATGGAGAGTGGATAATTTAATGAACTTATCTTTTGCCTTTGGTTTGGCCCTCTGGGAAGGATCCCCTTCTCTCTGCACCACGAGCGTGGGGCTCTGGTGGAAACCCGGGGCTCCCCTGGGTGTGGGGAGGCCTCCACGTTGCCCTTCTCCCGAAGGGAAACCATCCCAGCTCTTACTGCGCCCGGGTGACAAGTCCTTGGCTTCCCCGTTTAGTTACCCTGCTCCTATTCCCATCCATGGGACATTTCTCCTTGACTCAACTGCAGTAAATGAAACGCTGGTGGCTTTACTAGACATTGCATCAAAACCCACCCTTCACAGCGAAGGACGAAGCCTCCGCAGCACGCTCTGCGGTCACCTGGGGGAGAAGGAGCAGTCTCCCTCCCGAGCGTGTGCCGAAGAGCTCAGCCCAACCTTTTCCTTTCCTAGGGCTGCTGTTTTTTTCCTCCAGACAGCTCTACTCATCCAAGTCATGTACAGAACAAGCAAGGCCTGTGCTTCCAGCCCAAGGTGAACTCATGACCAACACATTAATCGAAAAGAGAGGCCAGAAATATTATTTAAGAGAGCCAAGAGTGACATAAGGACTTACAGGGAGCAACAATTGCAATGCCGAAAAGGACTGGATGTTAGAACAGGATTAGAACAGCAGCAAATCAATTAGTTAATGTAATAATTTGTCAAATGAGGCCATTAATGGCTAACGCTGAAGGTGTTCAAGAACAACGGCATCATTACTTCATGTGTTTGTCATCTCAACATGTCCCCATTAATTTTTCAGTCTTGGGACCCACTCCAGCTTGTTCTGAAGCTAAAGGGTACAGGGACAAAGGCGGCAAGCTGTTACATGCTGTTTGTATTCTGCAGGGACCAGTGTGTCTGCCATTCAAGCAGACACTTTTGGGTTGAGCTGGGCGAGGGTTTCAACATCACACACACCACCACAGTGGTTCACAACGAAAGTGAATGCCCTCCCAGACAGGGGCGACAGTCAGCCCCTGTGAGTCCAGTACTCCAGAGACTGGGTTCCTTTAGCAGCTCTGTCCGTAAGGCAAGGTAAATGCCCTCAGAAACCACTTTACCTAAATAATGTTCTCAAGCAGAAGTGTATATGAAGGCAGTGAGAATTTCTGAGGGATGACTGCAGCATGTAGTCCAAAACATCTGGAAACGACAGCTTGAAGCATTTTCTCAGTACTCCTCCCCTTTCTTCTACTGTATCATTCCCATAAGCCTGGACTGTCGTAGCACAGATACATCCCACAATATTTCTTTTCTCCCCCAGAGCTTCAGGATGGTTCAGAGTTTTTCCTTGACATGTAAACAATACATTTGCATTTAAGCAAGAATTTGCATGGGGGAAAAGGGAAAAAAAAGCAGCAGCAGCCAGGTGGCAAGTGGTTCA